ACAGTACGAATTGAATATGTTCAATCGGGAAATAATATGGCGGATTTATTTACAAAACCAATTACGAAATTGAACTTATGGGCTTTCACTTCTGCCATATTTGGTACCGACTTATAAGATCCTTATTAATCAACAGTTTATTACTACATAATATTTTGTGAGAATTTCATCACAATTTCTGACACATTTAACCTCTCAGTTACAGTCAGAAAAATCATTCACACTGAGTGTTTGTGCCAATTTCTATGAAGTGTGTCCAAGTAATTACATACAGAACCCCAGCTAACTATCTGCCTAACTGATCACTGTATTCAAACTATTTCCTACACATGCCTATGTTGCTTCATGTTGATTGTGAACATGTTGCAAATTTCCAGTATTCCCTCTGAGTCCTTGGTCCATTCTGCCTGCAGCTCATAATCATTCCTGCCAATCAATCAATGAAAAAAAACCAAAGAAGTTGTAGACTAAAAAATAAAATATAAAAATCTGCCTGTCTCAAACATTCCAAGTGTCTTCAAAGTAAACTTAAACTGAATTTTATGTGAATTTCTTATTTCAAACTGTTTTCGGTTCTTATCCACAGTTTACAACATACTATTTTGTGAGAATTTCTGACACATTTGACAGTCAGAAAAATCATTCACACTGACAGCTCATAATCATTCCTTAAGTTTTGTTGTCTTCACCCTCCTCAGAAGGTGTTAAAAAAAGAAAAATACATCAAGCCATTGGTCAAACATAGTTTTAAAAAAAAAAAAAAAAAAATTTTTTTTTTTTTTTTTTTTTTTTTTTTTGACAAATTGATGACAGCTGGGAATTGTTAGCTGGCTGGCCTTTGACCCAGCAATGTCAGTCAATTTTGGCTTAATTTCTTCACTGTTTTCTTTATTGCTGACTTGTTAAAAAAAATAAATATAAAAAAAAATATTCCTGGTTTCCAGTGTTCAGGAATAGTAATTATTTTTTCATATATTATCCCCAGAAACATTATTTATAATCATTTACACCAACCAATTTCACTTAGAAAGGTAAGTGCATTCTTTGCTTTCAGAAAATACCTAGTTTCATGGGATGCAGATCAAGTTTCCTTGATATTTTGTTCAGATGATGACAAAAGTCATTTTTCAATTTTTTTTTTTTTTTTTTTTTTTTTTTCAAAGCAAATAGGCCATAGTGTAACAAAATAACCTTTGATATGTTTGTGATTATGTTTAATTGGGATAGAAATATTTTATGAAATCAAATCTGTATTGACTTTAGGGGGCTATAGTTGCCCTCAAAAAGCTGTGCAGCACTTGTATTTTAATTTATTTATAGTATTTATTATCTCTACAGATAGTATCAACAAAGTTAGGGTTTAAGCTACAGTAATAAAATAACAAAATAAAAGAAATTGGAATGCTAATTTTTTTATTATCTAATAATTACGGTAGTACATAAGCTGATTCACGTAAAAAAAAAAAACAAAAAAAAAACGTTAAGTCACGTATGACCTTCCGTGTGATAACTCGAATCTCACGTTAGCTGTCGATATGTGATGACAGTCATCACTCAGCACTTGCAAATTGACAACGATGTTAAGATCGCCTACATTTTATTTCGAACAATTTTTTTCTTCGAAGAAAGTAATTAAAAGCTTCTTTCAAAATATTTTAAATAATCTTTAAATTTGCTAATTTTTGTCAAATTTTGAAAAACGTAGAATTGATTTTTGAAATAATTCTAAACGAGGATTTTAACTTAGTTTACAAAATTTGGAAAAAAAATGGCTGATAGCAATTTTTTTTTAAAGTATTTTCGCTGACAAAAATAAACAAGATTTTTAACTAAAATTTCGGACATGCTAAGAATGAGTAAAAAAATTTTTTAAAATAATCAAAAAATACTTTGGTGTTTCTTCTTAAGAATGATATACTTAAGCCGTTAAAAAAATTTTTATGTCAAAAGGCCGTTCTTTTCATGATATACTCTTTTTTAGCGATTTCGTGGAGGTACTTACAAAATTGATATTAGCTAATTAGAAAAGCTTTTAATTGCCTTTGTAAATAACTAATATTAAGGACAGTACTGTCTGAAGAAATAAATAAAAAAAATTCTGAAGAATATTTTTACAAGAATTTTTTCATTTTTAAAATTTTAATTATGATAGTAAAATCGTGTGAAATTCTGTAGGCTTTTTCCTGGATGTGATATAGTAATTAAGCGGAAACGAAATTTACGAATCCACAACAGAAAATAAACGGAATTGCGCGATTTTATTTTTAAAATGATTTTTATTTTGTATCTTTCTTTTTTTTTTTTTTTTTTTTTTTTTTTTTTTTTTTTTTATATACTTACGTTCATTATTTCCATGTATGGTGGACTGAAATTGCTATTATGAAAAGGTCACGTAATCTAAGGGTTCTGTCCCTTTATTCTAATAAACATAGTAAAACTTAAAATAAAAAAAAAAAAAAGCGTTTACTCAGATTTTTAATAATTTTCATTCATGGTCATCCGTAGTAGCTGTCATCGCTTCGTCAATCAACAGTCCATCAAACGTTTGATCAAGTGAACAGTACCAATCGTAAATAATTGGTTGTATATTACTTTTTTATGATATAATAAGTAATATTTCTTTCAAATCAGATTAATTTAACTTTGAATTTTTTAATTTTACTAAAATAATGTGTCATTTTTTAAAATATTTTTAAAATCGATAAATTTGTTTGTTTACAAATTTATTTAAATTAAGAAAATAGCCGCTTTTAAGAAAATTTATGAAATCAAAATTAAATTTGACATTCCTATGTATCTGAAATACACCAGAATTGTTTACTTAATGGAAATAATAAATTATTAAACTTTCAATTAAAGCTAAAATGAAATCTTCGAGAATGTTTTTTTTTTCATTTTAAAAAATTCATTTTAAACTTAGGTATCGAAAATTTATGCCGAAAAAGTGGAGGTCCCTACTTCAAATTTTCTTAAAACAGCCATTTTCTTAATTTTAAGAGAATTGTAAACAAGTTTTAATATTTTAAAATCCTTTCAAAAAAAATAAATATACTTCTGACACGTTATTTTAGTAAAATAAGAAAATTTAAAGTTAAATTAATCTGATTTGAAATAGATATTACTTATATGATAAAAAATAATATACAACCAATTATTAACGAATGGTCCTGTTGATAGACGAAGACAGCTACTTTGGATGACCCAATTCTCAGAAATCGAATTGAACGCATATTTTTGGTTTGTAACTGACTTACCTAGTTACTTTTACAAATGAACATATTTTCTGAAATTATTTAATATTTTATTGACTTTTATTTACCTTTAGTCTGCCGTACATGAAAATAATGAGCGTATTAAATAAATAAATAAAAAAAAATACAAAATAAAGAATGATTTAAAAAATGGAATAGCACAACTAAGTTGATTAAATCTTTTCAAATTAGGATTTCTAAAATTTGTTTCCACTTAATTACTATGTCACATCCAGGAAATAGCCCAATACAGAATTTTACACGATTCTAAACTATTCTACTTAATTAAAATTTAAACAGAAAAAGAAGAAATTCTTGAAAAAATTATTCATCAGAAAAATTTTATTTTTTCAGACAATAATGTCCTGAATATTACTGAAGCTTTTCTGATTAAGGAACATTATAGTTTTATTGGATTCATTTTTTTTTTTTTTTTTTTTTTTTTTAATTCAGAGCAGATTTTCAGTTAGATAACTCATTTAATTAAAAAAAAAAATACAGTAAAAGAAAGTTTTGTGTGAATTTTCATAAAATTAAGTGGAGGGTAACATTTTTAAAAAAATGTTTTTTACTCCCTGCTCATCTCTCTCTCTCCCCCGACCACAGGTAGCTTTTTTTTTTTGTCAGCATCATCATCACCCTGGTATTACAGTACCCCTGTCAGAGGAGAAACAACTATTTGGGCCCCAAAACAGAGAAAAAATGTGCTTCTTATCCCGCTCATTATCGGAGGTTCACGACTTATTGCCATGGACCAACACCAGGGCAATAAGTCGCGAACGTCTGATAGCGAGCGGGATAAGAAGCACATTTTTCCCCCGTTTTGGGGCCCAGATAGTTGTGTTTCTCCTCTGACAGGAGCACTGTAATACCAGGGTGATGATGATGACGACAAGAAACAAAAAAAAAAAAACACATTGTATGGTTAGTAACTGGCGCTTCCTTTCGAGGTCCCGTCTCTTCGCTGAAATTCTGCAACTGGGTCTGCAAGGATAAGCGACCGTTCCTTTTGCGGTCGCGCCTGGACTCTTTTGCTTTTATTCTTTGCCTTCTCTCCCCCCCCCCAGATGCCTGAAGTAATTCCCTACTATTTGCAGGGCTCTGAAGCATGCGGGAGGGGGGGTGATCTCTCTCTCCCCACAACAAACAAGGAGCATTTAAACTGCTCCGTGATGATGTCAGCGCAGAAGTAAGTAGCAGGCAGGAACTCCCTCCCCCCACGCTGTAATTCACCCAGCCTGACATGCTTCCGCTGAGGGTGTCCGGCAGCCCAACACAATATCAGGCAATTGCCTCTTGTTGTTATCCCTGAGAGTCTCGGTGAGCACTGAGGCCTCTTTGCGAGGGAGACTAATGTCAGGACTTTATCAGCTTTTCGATCACTCCTTTGCCCCATCGATGTGGTCCGGTGCCTGGCACCACTCGCCCCACCTACTAGTTAGCGCTTCTCAGCCTTTTGGCTAAGATCAAAGTGTGTTATCTGTTCCAACATGCTGCGACAAAGGACCAGCAGTATGTAATCTTGTGTTTGCTTGGCATCATGCGAATGGTTGTGTGGACAACGCGACAGAAGGAATTTCATGGAGGCGAGAAGTTCTCCTCTTCTCAACTGGTTGCTTTCTTTAAGCATCATTTTGTAATTTTTACAAATAAATATTAAGATCAAAGTGTAGTATCTGTTCTAGACTCGTTCGTGACCCTTTCTGGACGCGGCCCTGTTTAGGGAGGAGGTATCCATCTGCAGGTTGGATGATCTCTGACGATTCCCCCGGAATCGTTGAAGCAGACGACCAGGAGGTTTCTAACCTTGTGTTACAATATCTCCGACTGTTCATCCGAACGGTTGAAGTAGACGACCTGGAGGCAACCCCCTTAGTGGAATTCCCGTGTCCGAGGGTGGGCGCCATGGCGGAGCCTCGCCCGGAGTACCCTGCCCCACCCTTGCGAGCAGTTTCATCTCCAGATGCTGAAGCATCTGAGCCCTTTCCCCCTCAAAGAGGCAGTGAAAGAGACTGTGGGCGAGGCAATGCCCTCCAAATGGAAGTCCCCACCTGTTCCAGGCTTTAACCTCCAGGAATTTCTTGAGAGGGCAGATGGGTACACCTATCTCCTGAAGAAGGGCAGACTGACCTTAGATCCGGTGGAGGTGGAGAAGTTCGCCAAGCGAACAATGTCAATCTTCGTGGTAGTCAAAGTTACCCAGAGGATTTGTCAATCCACGAAGGACAGTGTTTTTAAGTTCTTGACGTCTATGGGGTTTCCGCCCCAGCAGATTGTTCGGGGAACCAAACCTTTTATGTGGGACGTGCTGCTGTCCTCGCCAGAAGATTGCGTGTCCATGATCAAGCGATTCCTAATAATGAAGGATCTCAACCTTTGGATGGAGTACAGGGGCATGAGATGGACCAGGGTGGCTGTTAACGAGGTTCCCGCCCAAGGGAAGCGAGAGGCGCTGACTGCCTATTTTAAGCAGTTCAGACAAATCCTCGGACGTTATGCTGGTCAAAAAGGCCTTTGGTGACATTTCCAGCATGTTTGATTTCAATAATAGAATGCTGCCTGTCATTGTAACAGGCAGGAGACCGACATGCTGAAAATGTGGCAAACCCGGCCATATGGCCTCTGCATGTGCAGGGGATCACGCCCCGGACAGACAGCCAGACTCCAGTAAGAGTGCCCCTTGGACTTCCCAGTGGCCAAGACCTAAGGCCTCTGTTCCCACCGCCCCCTTGACCACATCTGGTGAAGGGGATTGGAAGGTTGTTGGGAAAGAGGAAAGCAAGGTCGGCGGCACGCAGCAGAGCGTTGATGTCTCCACTTCCGACAGCAGGCGGGATGATGCCTCGGGCCCCCTGCTCCCAGGATGGATCATTCTCCATACACTAAAAAGATCCAGCGGATCAAGGAAGTGATTGCTTATTTGGAGAAGAAGCTGGCCCAACCAAAACAGACGGCACCACCACCATCACCGGATTCTATTAGCCCCCATTCTCTGCCCCGTCTTCCCTGACCAACCCAAACACTCTGCCCCCGCCTCCAAGAGCCCACTCAACATCCCCGCAAAAGAGGGACACAACCCCGATGCACGAGGGGGGAAACCTCTACAAAAAAAAGACTTTGCTGCACCGGGGAAGAGACTGAGAAGCCCCTTGGAGGGTGTCGACAGAAAGAGGCGGAAGGTATGGGATCAGGACAGGTGTGGGGCATGATAGAGGAGGCCAAAAAAGCTTTCCAGGATGCCACACCTATCATCACTACCGACAATGAGGACCTTTCCAAATTGAAACAGTTCTGTACTGGGAGGGTCCCCGTTTTGATCCACCCATCCTTTTATAGGGCCTTAAAATTAACCTTTCCCTGGGATGTCAGTGGTATATCCCAACACGTCTCCATCAAAATTGAGATGGGCACCGGATCGATGGGAGAAGCAGTCGGCATTCCCATCCAGACTATGTTTCGGGGCTAGGCTCAACCCTAAGGTAAGTGTCTTTCATGAGTCTTTGGTTAGCGACTGTGAATGGCCAAGGCCTAAGATCAGAGTCTCGTAAGGTGAGACTCACACGCGAGCTTCAGCACCTCGGCGTGAATGTGTGTTGTGTGCAAGAAACCCATCTTATTCCCAGCGACTATGAAGATGTACTGTCGAAGAGGTACCACCTCTACTCAGCGTATTTTGATAGCCACTCCAGAGGGATCCCTTGGCTAGTCAGCAGGGCCTTGATGGCGACGTGGAACCTTGTGTACGCTGATTCGGAGGGTAGGCTTTGCTTCCTGGATGTCACCATAAAAGGAAAATCTCTTCACTTCATCAGGGTTTATGCGCCCAACGACCAGACGGAGCGGGCTAACTTTTTTTGGCGGATTGAGCCGTTTTTGATGACATCTCGCCAGGTAGTTTTAGCGGGTGATTGGAACGCCGCCCTTGATCCCGATTTAGATCGTAGCGGGGCTAGATTGGGTACTTACAACCCGGATGTCAAACCATTTCACGAATTTATCAACAGATTTGACTTAGTCAATAAGTTTCGAAATGAGCATCCTTGTGAGGCAGCATGGACTTGGACCAATAGGAACGGCCTGGATACGATAGTTCGTTCAAGCTATATCGACCGGGTTTTTAGTAAGGATAGTTGACGTAGGGCTCTTAGGGTGTCCAAGTTTTCATTCCATAGTTTTCTCGGACCATCAGCTTGTCCGGGTACGAGTAAACTTAGATAAACCTATGTCTAGATTGAATGGTTGCTGGAAGTTCAACACGTCTCTACTCGAGTCGAAAGACTTCCGGGACCAGTTACTACTAACCATACAGAGGGAAATGGTGGGGAGTGTGGTTGGGAAATCTTATGACTGTCATTTGGTCGTTTGCAGCTGATTATAGCCGTCGGCTCAACAGAGATAGATTAGCAGCGCAAACGGCAGCCGAAGCTAGATTAGAGGGTGCCATCCAATCGGGAGATTGCGTGGAGGTTTCTGTAGCTAGGGCCGAGCTGGCCTCCTCGCTTATCAAGAAGGATCAAGCTCTGGTAGTTAGGTCTAGGTTAAAGGAAATGTCTGCCGAGGCGACGAACATGGCTGCTGAATTGTGGCATAAGGAGCTGCGCAGCGCTTCGGATCGACACTGATGTTTAACCACTGGCTGAGGAATGGGAATATACCCCAAAGCTTCACCAGGGGGTGTCATCAAGTTGTTACGCAAGAACAAAAGCGGAGGGTATGTGATCGATAATTTCCACCCCTTGACTATGCTAAATGCAGATCTCAAGGTTTTGGCGAGGGTCTTGGCCAACCGTCTGCAGCTTGTGCTGTGAAGGACAGGACTATTCAGGACAACCTTCATATGATACGCCAGTTCATAGAAAAAGTCGATGGAGAATCCGCACTGATCAATTTGGATCAGTCCAGGGCATTCGATAGGGTGGACCATCATTTTCTCGAGGCTGTTCTTGCATCTGCTGGCTTTGGGCCACATTTTCGCTCCTGGATCCGGCTTTTGTACAAGTCTCCTGGAGCTCTGGCCGAAGTAAACGGGGTGAGGTCAGAGCCTTTCACCTTGTCTCGCTCCATTCGTCAAGGTTGTCCACTATCACCTATGCTTTACCTTCTTGCGTTGGAGCCCTTCCTACTAAAGTTAAAGGAGAAGCCGGTCCTTCGTGGAATTTCGATGCCTGGCGCCACCAACGTTGTCAGGTATTCTGCCTATGCCGATAATGTATCGGTGTTTGTTAAGAGCGTTGACGAAATTCACAAGGTCGGTAAAGAGATTTGCAGGTATGAGGCGGGGCCCAAGATCAACCACGATAAGTCTGTCAGCTTGTGAGCGGGAGGGTGTTCCTCTCCCCGGTCCCTTCAGCTGGATGGACGGGCCTGTCAAGATACTCGGTATCTGGTTTGGGCCGGACATCAGCTGGACACCAACTGGTCGGAGGTTCTGAAGAGGGTCAAGTAAACAGTTTGCCAGTGGAGTCAAAGGAATCTTTCCTTGAAGGGGAGGGCGGAAGTGTGCATCTCGCACATCTACCCGATTATTCTTTACCGTCTCTCTGTTCTTCCACTCCTGTCTACCGAACGACAAAAGTTCATTGATGCCCTTTTCGATTTCCCTTGGAGAGTAAAGGCGCATCTGGTACGTTGCGAGGTCTGCTGCCTCCATCCTGCAGAAGGCGGTCTAGGCATGACCAGCATCGAGAATCGTCAATACACGCTGTGTATGAGTTACCTGCAAAGGATGTACACCGAAAGTGGGGAGGGTGAGGACATTTTCTGGAAGGAAGAAGCTCGCCAAGCCTTCCCATCTCTGGAAAGTGTGCATACGGGAGAGGCAAACCAAACGCTTTAAGACGAATGCCCTTTTTATGAGGAATGTCGAAGTGTGCTGTGCAAACTCTTAGAGGTGAAGGATCGCCTCTCCGACTCCAGAGCATTATATCGGGTTCTAGTGAGGGAAGAGACAAAAGACAAACTCCATGACGAGCTCGGCCTTACAAATGAGGAGTTTCACTCCGTATTGCCATGGGCGCCCGGGTTGAAATGTCTCAACAACGACAAGGCATCACTCACCTGGCAGGTGTTGCGAGGGGCTCTCTGGGTCGGCAAGAAGCTTTATGCAGCGGAGCTGGTGGCCACACCAATGTGCGTGCGCTGCGGTGACTGGGAGGAGTCCATTGCGCACACCTTCCTTCACTGTAGTGTCGTAAACCCGCTGTGTAGGCTGATTGAAGGCTACATGGTTCGCATCTTGGGCGGAAAGTTCTTCTTCCTTGATGCCAGCACAGTTTGTTTCAACATGCTGCCGCCAGTGACAAAGGATCAGCTCTATGTAATCTTGTTTACTTGGCATCATGCGAATGCATGTGTGGACGACGCGACAGAAGGAATTTCTCCTCTTCTCAACTGGTTGCTTTCTTTAAGCATCATCTTAAAGTCAAGAGCAGGGCAGAAAAGATGCGTCTCTCCTCGCTGAAATTCGGCAAATGTTGGGTGAGAGTTTCGCAATTGGTGTGTGTGTGAGAGGAGCTAACCTTGAGTTGTTGTTAGACGCGACTTAGGACAAAGGATATTGGGCCACGCACCAAAATGTCAGTCAAACCAGACCCGTTTAACTTAAGATAGGTTTTTGACAGACTTTTGTCAGAACTAGCTAGAGTATGCAAGTGTTTAGATTCCCCCTTTGGACCCACATGTATTTTAAATAAAATTTTCATGCTCGGATTCTAGTGAAATAATTGAGGTATTTTGGTAATTATGGTGCAAATGTGGTATTATGGTGAAAGGTTTATTGTCAGTACGAATGGGTCAATGAGAGCGACTAGCTAGTTACGAGTTAAGACTAGAAATGACCAATTCTTTTTTCCCCCACCCCCAAATTTTGCCCTTGTGGCACATTTTGTAGTTTTTACAAATAAATATTAAGATCAAAGTGTAGTATCTGTTCTTATCAGCTTAATATCTGATACGTCCCCGAAGTGGGACTTCGATATTAAACTGATTTTCGGAACATGGCGAAGAGTCAAGGGCTTCCTCTGCCTTTGCCATGGGTTGGCCTGGTATTGCAGTGCCTCCAGGAGTCAGCCCAGTCTCCCTATTAGGGGAGAATAATAAAAACAAATCCAAAAATAGACCTCACTCTCGCAAGATATTGCCCAATTATTTGCATCGCGGTTCCACGGAAAATAAAAGTTATTCCCTTCGGGTCAGCTTGTTGACTTTTTTTATTTATTTTTTTAAATTTTTTTTGTTCGTTGTCCTCGTCATCATCGTCCTCGTATTAGAGTGCCCCTGTCAGAGGAAAAGCACAATTATCTGGGCCCCAAAACGAAGAAAAAATGTGCTTGCTTTTTATCCCGCTCACTTCGAGGACATATCAGATATTAAGCTGATAAGAACAGATATTACACTTTGATCCTAGCCTAAAGGCCGAGAAGCGATAGAGATTTCTTATAAATACAAAATTGTGGCACTAGGCCGAAAAGGGGGAGGGGGTAAAAGGCTGGTCTTCACTAACTATCTTATACCTAGCTAATCTGATTCACAACCTATTCATACATTACAATTTACTCATTCACCATAAGAACTCGTTCGTCACCAATCAATCCTCGATGCACCAAAATACCACATCCAGTCTAGGAAGACCTACAAAACGCGCCCCGTGTCATAATAATTTAATGATACTAACACGTATGTACAAAATTCTATGATGAAAAAATGAGAGGGGGAGGGAGATGAACCCAATAACGAACCAAAATGTTAACACAAATCAAATTAAACGTTAACTGATGTTAGTAGTTTGAATTTGGAAAGGTCCTCATTGTCTATATTGACAATGGGTGTGGAATCCTGGAAAGCTTTTTTTGGCCTCCTCTATCATGCCCCACGCCTGTCGTGATCCCGTACCGATTGGAACTATGGTGAGAAC